ATCACATTTGTATGGTATATTAGAAGGTTGGGTCTATAATAAGTTATTGTAGACCGGATCTATTCTAATCTTTACCCAAAAGCTAATAAAAAAGCTACATAAAACCAATTATCAAACATGCAATAAAACTACCCTCTATAAATATGTAAATCACTCAAGTCAAAACTACTCCGTAATAAACATACAAAGTGACATACTTTCATCACCAAGCTTACAATCAACATCAAAATCCACCAAAATCACTATAAACTCCAAAAGTAGCATCGACATAATTGACCAATTAATTCCTGGTTTCCTTCAACGGATTGAAAGTAAAAGCTTAAATTTTGTTGACAAAAAGACTTTTTTGAATAATTTCTACCATTAAAAAATAAAAATAATTCCATAATTGTTGTTTACAGTCTAAGATTGTGTTCCCAAAGTAGAACCTGGTCCCTTACTACTTGCTACTCTACGTAAGTCCAAGTTGATGCCGTGGACCTTGAATTTTGTGCCTTTGCCTTTTTTTTTTTTTTTTTTTTAATTTTTTTTTATATATATATCCAATAATTATACCCATATAATTAAATAAAATATTAAATAAACATATAAATAAATAAGTGGCCCATCCAGCTAAAAACCTTCGAAAATGTTCAAAAATTATTTGTTTAATACATTTAGTATAGGACAAAAATAGGCATGGTCTAGAAGAAGGAAGCAACTAGGAATAAATTGCTTTGATAAACTCCCACTTAAGCTACTTGCAACTTAACTAAATGATTGGAAGTGATTATGGATCTATGATTTTATGTATCAATTTATTCCATGTAATTGGCTATGAACCAACAATTACTAGCTTATGAATCACTCATCTAATTATAAATTAATCTTAGTTTAATTTTTTTACTTTTTTATTTCAAAGTTCAATGAACCATTGTTTGTTAATTACTTAAGTGTTTAGTCAATCATATTGAATAATTTATGTTCATATTATCTAATAATATTGTTTTACTATTGACTAAATATTTCCCATCTTAAGTAGAGTGTAAAGTGAAGTCTCGTATTTTTTACAAGAGAATTCGAGTGTCTAGTAATGTCTAAGTACAAGATTATGATGATATCTTACATCTTTGTTTTTGTCTTAACTAACCAACAAAAAAACCCAAGTAAGAAGGAGAAAGCGGTCTGCTAGAGGACACAAAGATATCAAATGACCAGCTAGCAAACAACATATCCACTTACAATCCTTGGATTTAGGGTTGTTTTTAGACTTAAGAAAGATAGTTTTTCTAGATTAACACTAGATGAAATGCACATAGTAAGATGAATACATACATCAAACTAAGGTAGTGGCCTTAAAATTCTACCAACATATAAAAATTAGTAAATCCACATTGCTAGGTGTGATTTGTGAATCCCAATGAGGCTATGTTCAATAATCAATAAATATATAGGAAGTACGATTTGCAACTTGACTTAATCATTTATGCTCAGTTATGTTGTTCTTATCACCTAGGACTTAGAGTACTAATTTATACGCATACATGATATGTGACTTAAGTTTGTAGCTCTTCTTACTCTGTAATCTCAAAGCTAGATTAGTTAACACTATCTTAGTTTCTTAATAGATGCACTGTTTTGACTTTTTACACTATATATTCTAACAGTGACCATTTTTACTTACTGGTATATACTGATAAGTTAAAAGATGTATATATTAAAAAGTGGAGGAAAACTCTATTCTCTTAAGCTAAACTAAATTGAATTATTATTATTAATAAAAGTAAACTAAATAGAGCTAAACTAAATAGAGCCAAAGTGAGCTTAATTGACCTGAATTAAACTTTAGCCTTAGTAAAAAATCAATTACTGAAGAAAACGTTGTACAAGATGTAATTAAATATATAATTCCCTGTTTCCAATTATGATGTTCAAATTTATATAATAACAAAAGGAAAAGTAATTAGCGATTGACAAACCCAAATATGAATGTAAGTATATGATATGATTCAGTATGGTTTTATGAGATCACTTACGAAATACAAATGCAAAAGACGATATTTGCTTAAAAAGTTGAATTGAACATAGCCCATAGTCAAACCCCTCTTCTATTGTTAACCACTTTTCAAATTATTACAGTAAAACAATACTCCCTTCGTCTCTAATTACATTTCTACTTTTCTCTATTATGTGAGGAATAAATGCTAGAAGTAGAAATGTAATATAAAGACGGAGAGAGTACATAATTTTAATTTTAAATTTAAATGCTTGTATTGAAAGTAGACTAGATGTTTCCATAATTAGACCGTATGATACAAGAGCTGCTGTCATAATAAATACGAGAATCAATAATTTTGGAATGCAATGCAGCGTATTCGTACAGGCCGTATTGTACAGATTGTGGGGACACGTGATACCTTAGAAATTTGCTGGAGATGACTAACGCAAGTGGCAGACCGTACGCTTTACACGTAATTATGATATTATGTTTTCATAATTATAATAATAATCATAATGACTAATTAATCATAGCCGTCTATGCTTTAGATCTTTCTTTGACTATCTTTGCTCTTTGACACTCCTAAACCGTCCGTACCTCTTACATCTAATTATTGATTTAAGGCTTTAAATAATCACATTTTTTAAAAAAAATTATTATTATGATGGCCCTCCATAACCATCAAGTTGCATTGATCTTTCTTTGACTTGATTAGTGCAATGTGGAGTACTATTCAAATATCTGTATTAAATCAATTGTGACATTTGACTTTTACAATTTTCAGAATACTTTTTATTTTATTTACAACAGTAAAATAAATTATAAAAAATTAATAATTTAAAATTGAAATTAAATATGTCTTAACTAGATCTCAATTAATAATGTTGTTTTTTGTAAATTAGTTTTAAAGTATGGTACAAGTTTATATAACATTTGACCTTAAAAAAGTCAAATATGTTAATTTTTTGGAGGGAGGATTATTAAGAACTAAAGAGTAGTACGAGTAGAATTTTCACTAAGCTTTAGGAACTCTAAGTAAAGTATTTTTTAGTGTAATTAAGATTCAGCAAAAGTAACCCAAACACGATTATCTGATCCGAATATTAATGTGACATATTAATAAAATAAGCATGTAAATAACGGACGGAGTCGGAGGAAGTATTACATATATACTAGGGATCTATAGGGAACATAGATCGAAGTAGAGATAGGGAAAACATAGTGCAAGAAAGTCATGGAAAGGGTGATAAATCATCCTATGAAAGAGATAACAAGTTGAAGAAGTATCAAGAGGACAAACTAATGAATCGTAAAATCATTGCGTATTTCTTTACTACAATGGATTCCTCAATCAAACAACACTTAATTATTTGTTTATTGTTAAATCTTATCGTTGCCCTTAAAAACAAAATTGATATTTGATATAAAATTCTAAAGCATTGACAAAGGCATAACATATTTACAAACTACAAGTCAAATCGACAACTCTTATAGCTAATTATTTTTTATTAACACTATGTGATGCGGTTAATGCCCCCATACCGTTGACTTTTTTAGGCAATAATTATTAACATAAACAATATCAAAGGTTAAATAAGGATACTTCTAGGAATGTTCTTATAAAGAGACTCTATCCATGAATCTCTATAACAACTTGTCAACTTCACTTGAATTATTCTAGGGATTCAACTAATAATAATACTCACTTTTATTGGGTGTATTAGCAATTTAGCACTAGCTTTTATTATACTTGAGAGTAAAATTAGATCTTTTGCTTTATATACTCCTTCTAAAGGATTTAATAAAGTTGGATTCAATTAGTCATTATAATGTAACTTTTTATACTACAAGGAAGGTATGAAAAATGTGAATTAGAGTAAGAAAAGGTAGATAAAGTAGGACGAAGTGAATATAAGATAAAACATGAAAAAAAAAAGATATGTGAAGATGATGTAAAAATTAAAAATAAAAATAATGGAATTATTAATATCCCACAAAAATGATCTAGATTGCGTGCGAGATTGGTTAAACACTTAAAGGGAGGAGGTAAGGAACACCAAGAGCTAGATTAATCAAACTCAATACAGATGGGGCTTGGAAGAATGCCGAGGAAGGAGGAAGTGGAGTTTTCAGGAAAGGGAGAGTGGTACTTTGGCTACTCCAAGTCTCCAACAAGTACACAATGCCAAATCAGCTCTTCAAGTAGAATTGTATGCTTTGAGGGAGGGTCTCAACTTTGCTCGTGCTTTTCCAGTGCAATATGTTGGGGTGAAAACAGATGCTTAAGTTATTCGAGCTATGTTCAACAGAGAGTATGATAATATGCACCATGAATTGGCAACTGTTATTATTGACATTAGGAGAATAGGAGGGACTTAAACAAGGTTATGACAGTCATCCTTAGTCATATTTCCAGGGAACGTGATTCTGTGGCCCACTACTTGAGTCAGCTTGCGATTCATATGAAGGGGCCATATTCCACACTTTGTTAAACTTGGTACAGGGTTAGATTTTTGGGTTTATTCAAATCTTTAGACGTTAGGATGTAATATATTTAGGGCTTTGTCCAAGTAATCCATGCTATGTTTTATGAATAAAGAATCCTTGTGCTCCCAAACAAATGTAGCTGGTATAACTCGATTTTATGACCTCAAAGTTATGAGGTAAGTTCACCACCAAACTCAACCAATGTCTTTTACAATGATTACTTTTCAAAAATAAAAAATAAAAAAATGATTACTTTATTAAGTAATCTACGATTGGATCATGTATATATTTTGTAACTATATCTTTTGATGAGAAGATTAACGACACAGCTAGAATTGCCGAAGGCTCTTTCATGTGATCATATTTATTGGTTCCTTGGGTGTGAGGGGGGGAAGAAGTGAAATATGAGATAAAGGTTCAACTTACCTTCCAAAAACTACCCATAACACTTGCGTTACATTGGCTATGATACAACGATTGAGGATCTAACTTAACCAAAAGCTTAAATCTATAGATAAAACTCGAGATTGATTTATATATTCTATTGAAAGATCAGTCTGCATATATTTATCAGAAAATATAGAAGATTTGATTAAAAGACAATGCATGGATATTAGGATATACTTTGTATAAGGAATTCATTACGTCATAACATACAAATATCATAGGAGTGAGTAGAACATGTAAATGTTCAAATAGTAATCAATCTTCTCTGATCATTGCTTCACGTTTGTGCCTACAATTTTCACGTATTAGATGAAAATAATAAATATATTTTTGAAGAGAATAAACTTCTTTGATACAAAATGCTAAAATGTCAACTAATTAAATAGTGCTTATTGACTTTATTCTAGAATAAAGACAAAATAAGCTACATATTAGTTAAGCTAATCAATATTTTAATGATTTTTTGTGCGCAAATTAAAGTCAAATCGTATAAGCAACAGTACGTCATTCACAGCGTCATCACTATAGCTGGAAATCACCATTGTTTTAGTCTCTTACATATATGATCATCGATTAAATTATTACACAAGTCATTACCATATTACCTCATTCCTTTATTAGAAATAAAATAAAATAATACCAAGTATAAATTTAAGTTTATATAGACCGGTGGTTATACTATCTTGATATCTATTACGAGTAACTATTACTAAAATAGGTCAAGTTTACATTATCAATGGATACATGTCACCTTCTTACAAAAGCTTTCTCTTCCACTATGCTATCCAAACAGACTAAAAGTATGAGTTTTAACTATTCCAAACTTATGTTTGGTAACCAACAAGAGTTGGCTCTAGTGGTATGTCGCTTAAGGGAGATCTCAGATTTGAGCCTCATCGTATGCAAAAACTCTTGAAAACGAATTCATTTAAACTATTACCATTACCAATATTGGTTAAAAGGTTTGGGTAACCATTACCATTACCTAAAGACAATGGCTCAATGCTGCACACAAGCTCTGAAGCACCTCTTTCTAGAATATGTTTTCGGCTCTCCAGCACCATTCATTACAAGTTGCAAAGCTCCTAAAATCCATTTCTTGATAATGTCCTGTAATAAACTAAGCAACTTCTGACTCTAATCAAATTCAAAGAGGATAAGCTCATATGTCTTAGAGAGATTTCCACATAAAGGGCATATATCATCACCAAGCACCCCATACTGCATCAGTTCATTCTTAATTCTAAGTCTCCCCCGAGCTGCAATCCATATAATAAATCATATCAAGGAATATTGAGCATATTCCAAATCCAATTACACCAATTGACTTCAGGTTTAGAATTTTGCAAGCCAGCAGTGTTATGATGCCAAGTGTTTCCTGTAAAGCCATGTTTAATCTGCTCCTTCACTCTCTCCAAATCTGCTTCCATTGCCAACTAGCTTAAGAAGAACATCCAACTCTCTTTCAGTTTCTGTCTTTAATGTAATGATGATCGACCCATCTAAGCCAAAGACTATCAATCTTATTTGTAATATCCCATATATAATTACCCATAGCAGCAATATTCCAAATAATACAGTCTTGAACCCCTAATCCACCTTGCTTCTTAGGTTTGCAGGTAGTGGGAGAAGTTCTACCAGATACTTTCCCATCCCATATACTACCTCCATTTCTTATTATGTGCAACAAAGGGGTATTATTTGTGAGACATAAAATATTCTTTTGTTGCACATAATAAGAAACAGAGATAGTAAAATTTCTGCATACGGCCATCACACCTTCCATCACTCTTTTAGGCAGGATAAAAAGAGAAGCCCATTAAGTGTGCAAATACATAAGCACAAAACTGACTAGTATAACCCTTGCAGTACAAGACATAGTTATCCTACCCCAAGATCTTAGTATAAGATATAGTTATCCTACCCCAAGATCTCAGTATAAGACATAGTTATCCTACCCCAAGATCTTATTATGGCTACTATTTTGTCAATCAAAATATTACAATCATCCTTAGATAGTTTCTTGGCATCAACCTTGATATATGTGTTTATATGCTATTTTATCCCCTGTCCCACGATTATTTTTATGCATATTTGAGCTCTTCGGGGCTATTTTTAATACTAATGTGTGGTTTCGAGTGTTTTGTAGACTTGACATCTATTTTGTAGGAATTTCCTGATTGTTGGTGATTTCTAATGGTTTTCCGGCCACTACGAGATATCGAAGCTATGATTACATTCATGACCATCTCTTGTACCCAAGACCGATTATTTTAGTAATTAAGGGCTTGGTTCGTAGAAATAGTCCAAGTAATGGACCAAGGAAGAGGAATTGGGTCACAAGTAGTTGGATCCCAAAGGATAAAAAAAAAAGGAAACTCGGCCAAGAAAAAGGCCGGAACCGATCGGGCGACCTATAGCCTGATTGGCGGGATGCTCAGCAAAGCAGCGAGAAGAAAAGGCGGGCCCGATCGGGCGGCCCTTCGCCTGATCGAGCGCGAGTTTTTCCAATGGTATTTAGGATTTCCGTTTTGAGTTAATTTTGCGATTAAGTATTTAAACTCTTTTGTAAGCTTTATTAGTTACGTTTTTTGGATTACAATTTTCATTTATACACTTTTAAAGAGATTTTAGTGAGAAATTATGTTGAACTCAAGTTTACCCTTTTAGTGTAATTTCATATTTCTTACATACATTATTATTTTTCCTCTCTTTCGCTTTGTATATTGCTTTGATCTTAATTGATTTGTTATTTTGTGCTTTGATTTCAATCATGTTTTTTATATATGCTTTGATTAGTTTAGATTTAAATATGTGTGAGTTGTTAATTTCTAAGGTTCTTCGGAGATTTATGGTTAATACGAATGGATAATTTGTTATTATTAATTATTGATATTGCATGATAATTTCTTATTGAATTGTTTTAATTCTTTACAATTGGATTATAAATCGAGCAGATGTGATTTGATTGTAAAAGTATAACAATATTGAATTGAGCAAATGTTAATTTGATATTAAAGACTATTCTCAATAGTAACTTAAAACTAGTAAATTGCGAGAGTCTTTTAGATTTATGCTGATTAATATATTGCGAGAGTCTGTTAATCATGTTATGTTTGCATTATTAATCGTTAATTGTTATGTTTTATCTCAAAGTATTAATTATTGGTGAACTTGTGACCTAGGCTTTTTATTATTGATTTCTTCCTTAAATTAATTCATTCAAACCTTATTTGTTTCGTGATAATTTAGATTATTTTTATTAATTAAGAATAGAAGAACGTTGTTTCAATATGGATTTGACTCTACTTCCCTATCTATTTTAGTTAGTGGTTTTAAGAATTACATTTAATAAAGTGATACGACTTTAACCTATCAAGCCTTCACCCCAAGATATTTTAAAGGTAAAACCCCCTCCTTATACAAAAGATATTTCTAATGTCCTTCTCACTTTGATGAACATTACAAAAATAAACATTTAATTTCCCTCCATTTACAACAAGACTAGAAGCAGCAACAAAAGTAGCTAATCTTCTCATCAAAAGAGAAGCAGAGCTAACATCACCCTTACTCATGACAATTAAGTCATTTGCAAACACTAAATGATTAAGCCTCACACCTCTACACCTAGGGTGAAACTTGAAATCTTTGTGCTCACCACTCTTCTGCAAAAGCCTTGTCGAATACTCCATACATATAACAAACGAGAGAGGAGACAAAAGATCACCTTGTCTCAAATCTGTCTTACTGGGAAAAAGACATGAAACTCCCCATTAATCCCCGATGAAAAACTCGGAGAAGGGCACTCCATAATCAGTTTGACAGACTAATTCCCTAAAAAAGCTCCAATTCACATAATCATAAGCCTTTCTTATGTTCACCTTAAACATACAACCACGAGGGACAATTTTCCGTTGATATTTCCGAATTAGATCTTTCTTATGTCCACCTTAAACATACAACAATGCAAATATTACGACAGTTCCTCCTTTCTTGTACAAAACCAAACTGGTTAGAAGAAATAATGAGGCAACACCATTGTAAGTTTAAAGCAAACAAGCAATTGGTCTATAAATCAGTTACTGAGACAAGCTGGTCACTCTTAGAAAGCTAGTCCAGATTTGTGCTATTAATCTCTCTTAAAATATTTCCACTGCAGAACAACATTGCAAACATCCTCCCCTACAATACTCCGGAGCCTTAACTCTAGGAATACTGAACAAAGCTTTCTTGATCTCTTCCCTTGTAAAAGGAGCAGTAAAAAAAACCCCTTGCTCCCTAGTAACAACAGGCTCTAAATCAACAACATTTTGATCCACTTTCACCTCACAAACATTCTCAATACCTAAAAAACACTTATAGTTATCAACAAAAGCCTTAGCCACATGTTATCTATCATCACATCTATTCCCATTCATGTTTGAAATAAAGATCACTTTTTTTCTTATAAGCTTGTATTTTAATACTCTTATGAAAGAAAGAAGTAATATCATCACCAAGCTCTCCTAAGCCTCCAAAAATCTAGCTCCAATTCCAGAATACTCAATTCTATTCAAATTCTTCAGAGCTTTAATTTCTTCACTTTTTTCGGTTGAAACATTTTCTTGCCCCTCACATCTATATTCCAAGCATTCTTCATTATATCTCCAAAAGTAGGATAATTACCCCCACATATCAAAGAATTTAAAGGCTCTAGGACTAGTGAAGATTTGCTCCTCAAAATAAATAAGAGCAAGACAATGATCATACCACATCTTAGAGTTCTAATGAACAAAAGAACTAGGAAAAGGATTAGACATGTCAATCTAGCTATAAACTCTAGCTTCCCCAAACTGCATATGTGTTACATTTCTAAAACCTAATGTAATAATCACCTTTAGCCTCTTTAAAGAGAGAGAGAGAGAGAGAGAGAGAGAGAGAGAGAGAGTTAGGTTTAAGTGATTCATTTCCATGGTAAAACCAATCAAAAGAAAAAGTAAGCATTAGATAATTTCATACCAGCGATCCCTTTATATCTACAAACTAAACACCCCCTGAAAGTCTATTGCCTATCCATTTTCTTTAAAACAAATGAATGAATTTGTCTTCCCAATTATAGTAAAGCTTTGCAAAGTTTTCAAATTTCTCCTAATATGGAGATATAAAACCGATATTGCCTTATTAGATTTTAGGTAGGATCTACTAGTTGTTTGGATTACTTTAAGCTAATTTTTCATGTCAATGACATTACAAGGAAAGCAGTTAAGCTCTATCAATGCCGTACTGTCAAAGTGGACATACAACAAGTTTAGAGAGCTCATGATATTGCAACTTTTGTCGCATTAATCTTTTCATGTTTAGTAATTCCTTCCTTTTCAGCCTTACTCTTAAGGAAATATAAAACACACTTGATTTAACTATGGTAGGAGAAAACTATGATTAGGGAACTTAGACCTTTTAAAGTCTATTGCCCACCCATTTCCTTTAATTGTGGTTAAGGGTGTAAATGAACCGAGATCATCAATAAACTACTCCGGTTCGAACTCGCCGAGTACAATCTTATATAGTATTGCCCTTAATTTCTGAATTTCGGGGGTGAGAATATCTAAGTATCTTTATTACTTTCTTCATCTCTATTTTTTTTTTTTTTTTTTTTTTTTTTTTTTTTTTTGCCCCATTGGGTTTTTAGGGGTTAGGATTTGAAAACATTGACCGTAACTTTTCACTATTTTATACTCCCTCCGTACTTTATTACTTACTTAATTTCTCCACATACAGAGTTTTAGGAGGAATAGTAAATAATATTATTTTATAATTGAAGTGGGGTTGGTTAAAGAATAAAAAATATCTGAAAAAGCAAAAGTGGGTATAAGTGGGAGGAGAGAAAATATGTAAAATATTAAAATATAATATGAGTGGTCCACTACAAAGAAGAAAATAGTTAAATATTATTGAAAGTTTACTAAAAAGAAAATAAAGCCAGTAATAAAGTATGACCACAGAAAGAAGAAGAAAAAAAAAAGGTGGAGCAAGTGGGGTCTTGGCATTTGTTAGATTCATTACAAAATCTACTTTTTTTTTTTTTTTTTTTGTTTAATCGAGTACAACATCTACTTTAAGAATATCAATTTTTTATAATTTTTAGACATGGAATTTAGATAAATACTTCGTATGTTTTAAGATGTAACTTGGAGATTGTGGCAAGTCAAATGGGAGAAAACATTAAAACGGAGGAAGTATATAAGCATTCATCATGTGGCACCTCTTTCATACACTATAAGCCAAGCATGTAACATCAATACATCATCCATCAGCTTTTTTTTTTTTTTTTTTTTTTTTTTTTTTTTTTTTTTTTTTGTTGACAAGTCCGTTCATTCAACTATGAAATTATTAAGACTATAGATTAGTAAAAAATGCTTCTAATAGTGTTTTAACTCATGACCTTAGAAATGTTAGCCATCTTTTTATTCATGCTTTCTATATCCATGTAACTCAAATATATCAAGCTTTGATTAGGGGGCGTTTATTTTGTATTTCTTAAAATTAGTTCCTCTATTGCTTGCTAATTTTCATTATGTAATTTATACATGGAACTCAAGTACCACAATATGATTTTTAAAGTAACAAGACAAGACATAACTAGTTTCATTTCATGAATAAAAGACTTGCGTAATGTTGTTAACATTAATTAGTGACAAAACCCTTGACATCATATTAAGTTACAGTGAGACCACATTATCTCATACGGGTTTTTGCCTTAATAGAAGATGACACTCAAATTTAGTTGGGGTTTTTGGAGTGGGTTGGAATAGAGCATTTTTTGGTGGAACAATTTTTTCCATGTAATCCCATACCACTAGTATAATCCCATTCCAAATCCCTACAATTTCATACCCACTTTACCCTCTAAGAATCTATGTATATATTCCACCCTAAATACAAATTTTAACTAGAACATTGTTTAAATCAAACAAATATAGCATAGTATTCCCAATCCATTCCATTTTAGTTTGCTGAGCCAAACAACTACTAAAACGATAACACATGTAATTAAAATCATTGTATATTTTTGCAACGCACCAGTTAGACATGCCTACTTGAAATGCCTCATCTATGATCAGAATTCCCTTTGTCACAGTAACTCCCATAGCTAACCATCATAGATCTCAACTGCAATCATCACAGAAGTTTCAGAACATTAAAAATTAAATAAATGTTATCACTCTAGGATATATAACGTAATAAACCAGCACAAGAAATTCTGTTAGAGAGGAACTAGGTTGAAAAAGTAAATTCTACAAAACGGTTAAAGCAGAAGCAATGATAAATCAAAGGCTCAAAGCAAAGAACCAGATCAGGGATCTGGTCTATATATGGCAGCTTTGTTATGCAAACAAATCAGTATTGTCCAGTAATCATATTAATTGCATTCTTTCACCAGACTGGAACATGCTTATTTTACCTCAAGGATATCGATAGCATATATGTAGTATAAGAGATTTATATTGTAACTTTCTAATGTCCACATAATCTTTCCAATCATTATATGTTAGGTTTGAGATATGGGCTTAGATTCTAAAGATCATCAACCAAATACATGGAAAGGGTTTAAATACTTTAAACAATTCTAAACCCATACCAAATACCTAGATTTTGTGAACCAAACCAGCCCTTGATATGTTACATGAGGAACATTCCCTGCGTTTTACTTCTTCAATAAGAAAGATTTGCTCAAGTTTCAAATTATTATTTATATTCTTCAAGCTACTATGCTGGTTAACAGAATAGTCATAAATGACTGGCCAGAAAGTCGTTTAAGATCTAACAAATTTGTAGAAACCTCCATATTAAGAATATCATATATCAGCGAACATCATTTCATAAATGCAGAATGAAAAACTAAGAGAGTAAATTATACACCCCCCATTTTGTGTCCAAGAAATGTTATTGTGCAACTAACTCGCATTTTGTCACTAAAGATGGTGCCTAAACAGGTCTGGTTCCAGTCTGGTTTCAGGTTGAGGTCTTAATCTGCACAACCCTAATAAGAGTTACCAATGGTCTTTTTAAAATTTATAAGGGGCAATTCTAACATGGTCACTCAAAAGCATAAATGGTCTCTTAAACCCCCTTATGCATTATGATTATGATGATATGCATTTATCACATTCACATAAAATACCAAATGAAATAATACAATTAAATTTCTACAAATTGTCAAATACTCTTTGGCATGACACAAAATTTGCATATAAGTGATAGGTTAAAAATTCAGAACTGCACCTTTTCTATAGTTTCTGTAGGGCCTGATGTGTCATCAGACGCTTCATGTTTCTTTTTGAGAAGTTTGATCTGCGCTTTGACTTTATGTTTCTGATCTTCAACCTGGTTACAAAAAAAAAAAAAAAAAAGTAGCTGTGTTAAGAAAACATGAGGCAAATTCATATACAAAACTGCAAGGTGCAAAGGCTAGACATAAAAAAAAATAATAAAAATAATTAATAACAATGTTTTTCTTAAAAGAAGAAGAAAAAAGAGGAGATGAATATAAGATCGTAATGCTGAGAAAATGAACGAAACAATAATACAAACCAGAAGAATCAGGAGGATTAAGTGTCATGCACTCAATTGGTGCTGCAAAGTAACTAATCTTAGTACAGCTTTCAAAATTTATCACACAATTTGACAGTGTGCACAGTGCAAACATCCATTAAAACGTGTAGATCCCAATGCAGACATTGAACTTGCACCTCCTCAGACATGCTGTCTATAACAAACTGAAATAGCATCAGATAACTCCCTCACACCAATTACTGCAAATGCAGGCTTTGCTGTTATTATCATATAGCTGTGGAAAGGTTGGAGCAGGGCATTTTACCCACACAAGCAAGACATGGCGGCACGGGTCATACACCCCAAACAATTGAAATAAAAACCCATTAACCCTAAAACTCTCGAAAAAAAACAAGCAAAAAGGAAAATTCTATTCGTATCATCGATTGTGATTTTAAATGGTCAAATTCGATCATGAAAATTCCATATCAAGAAGTTTTATGTTTAAAGTTGACCTTAAAAATCTTAAATATTAAAGTTTACCCGTTCCTGCCGCCCTTTATGACCGTCACTACTTTAAAACTAAGGAAAATTCGGATTTAATGACACCAAATATGACAATTAAGTATTTAACCAAGGAGCCTTGGGCAAAGTGTTATATGAGCTTCCAACTTCCTAGAGGAAAGCCTAAGATCAAAGGAGGAATAATGTACAGGGGGAGTTTTGGGATGTGCCTTCCTAAATTGGGCTGATAAGCCTCAGATTGGGCAGCCCGACTTGATCCCTAAATACAAGTCCGACATTACTTAAAAATTGAACAACACAACAAAATGATAGCATTGACATAATAAGTTTAGTAATGTCAGTCCTCACTCAAATAACCAGTACAAAAAGTGCACATTTACAGAATATTACATGCTATATATCCTTTTAAATTCAGAATAATTTGAATTTTACCTTATCTAGCAACTCCTCCAATGCCTGGACCTCATTCTCCTTTGTAGCTAAAAGATCATGCTTGAGATGAACTAAATTCGTTCTGCACACATGACCAATAAGTACCCAAAGGAGCACACACTAAGAGTTGATTGAGACAAGTTAATCAAAATCTTTCCATTTTAAAAAAAAACAAAGTAATCGCTATAATTCATTTAAAACAGTACTATGACAATTAATATCAGATTAAGGTTATAGCTTACAATCAGCATCTAGGAACACACTTAGAGTTGATTGAGACAAGTTAATCAAAATCTCAATTAGAATAGAGGTTAGTAACCAATAGTCCACTAAACATTTAAGATATAGTAACTAAAAGAAAAAGTGGTCATACAACATTGTCAGAAGCTTCCAGGGACAATCTAAACTCACGCAACCCCTTAAAATCCATTCCCCCTCCTGCATAAAATTAAGTACTTAAAAGACAATTAAGAAACTAAGGAAGCTACAAAGTTCCATAAAGTTAATCTAATAGCTTAAGCCACATAGTAAGCCATTGATGACTATCTTCACTACAATATACAAAGGAAAGAAAAACAATCTACATCGATTGAAACATACTCCAAACAACTAGCCCCAAGAAGAAACATAATTCTTTTGATCATCCACATAAATATATATATGGGAGGGATCCCGTGAGAATAGGTCCATATGTGAGAATTTATACTTATTTGAGAACTGATCTAAAATTTAGAACATGTGAGTAAAAATTTAAAGGGTTTTTCTACACAGTACCCCTAAGGTATTCACTTTTCTAAGCTGTGCCCACCCATTTTCAAAATTCCACACTGTAACCCAAGGTATCTTTAGTGTGTACGATGTAACCCCCCACTAATCCTAAAGTTAACACCATTAACTTTTGTTAAAAAATCTGTTTGAAAAAAAAAAAAAAAAAACCCCTCCCTCCTGCAAAAAAACCACCCACGCACCACCAACCCTTCCCTCCTCCAAACTCACCCACCCAACGAACCACCCATCGGACTTCACCCCAATCACCGGACTTCACCCAAGCCACCGCACCCACCCTGCGAACCGCAACCAACACAACGCACAACAACAATCGCTGCCGATTTGACCACCAAAAATCCGATGCTTGAACCCTAAAGGACGAAAAACTCCATTCCTTTACCCTTTCACCCTCAAATTGACCGGAATCGAACACTGAAACCCCGAATAGTCGATCTGGCCGTTCAAAGGGTCAGGGAAAGGGCAGTGGTTTTGCGCGGTAGTGGTTAGGCCTGAGGTGTTTTGGGTTGGGCTAGGGTGGTGCGTCGGCTGTGGAGTTTGGGGTTGGGCTAAGGTGGTGCATCGGCAGGGCAGATGGGGATGGGAGTGCCGGTAACTGTTGTCGACAGTAGCAGTGGTGGTGGTGGGGCTAGTTAGGGTTAGGGCTGGGTTCAATTTTCTTCATAGTGGTTGGTGTGTGGCGGTTGTGCTGGGTGTGGTGGTTGTTGGTGTATGGCGGTTGCTGGGTGTGGCGATGGCTAGGTGCGTTAGTTAGGGTGGTTAGGGCTGGGTCGTGAGGGATGGGTTTTGGTGGTGAGGCGACATAAAACTAACGGTAATAGCTAACGGCAACTTAACTACATCGTACACACTAAACGTACCTTGGGGTTACAGCGTGGAATTTTGAAAATGGGTGGACATAGCTTAGAAAAGTGAATACTTTAGGGGTATTGTGTAGAAAAAACCCAGATTTAGAACATATGAATTAAATATTAAAAAATGTGACTCAAATTAAAATTCACAACGTATGAGTAATAATTTAAAATATCTGCATGAGTAATAAATTAGAACATCTGCGTAAGTAATAATTTAGAATATTTGATTTAAGAATTAGAACAAGTAACTAAAAATTTATAAAATCTGCGTAATGAAATTTAGAGCATATGAGTGAAATTTAGAACATCTGATTTAAAATTATGAACATATGAATAAAAATTTAGAACAACGGATATAAAACATAGAAAACGTGAGTAAAAAAATTTAGAACATACGGTTTAAAATCTGGATCAGATAATTAAAAAAAATTAGAACACACGTTTTAAAATTTAGAACATATAAGTTAAAATTTTGGAACAAGTTATTTAAAATTTATAACATCAAACCCTATGTTACATGGACTCGGGTACGTGTGTCGGACACGGATACGTGTCCAAGTGTCCAATTCGTCAATTTCCAAAATTTTAGTACACAGGAACTCTATCCTATATTTGAACACGGGTGTGGGGACACGACACTTTCATTTTTTTGCAAAAAAATTATAGTTTTATAATTTTATATGTTTTTATCAATAGTGAACAAAAAATGAAATACTCCGTAGTGTAATCATACACAAGGAATACAAGTATTACAATGAGTGAATGAGGGAGTACATTAAAAATAAAAAATTGAATTGAAATAGTGGAGTGTGGGTCTATAAAAAATATTTGAGGTCTAGTGTCACTCAAACTTTTAATTTCAGCCATAAATTTATGATTTCTCTCTCCTCTCTCCTATACCCTCTCTCTTCTCTTAAATGGAGTAAATTTGAACGGTCTTTATCCTAGTGCTTGCTTTTTGAAGCTTCAAGTACATGAAGCTCAAGTTGTCAACTGCTTTGAGTGCAATCAGGTGAGTCGGATCCGAATTTCGCACCGGTGTCCGTGTTGTGTCGATACGGGTACGTGATGATTTTTGCCAAGTCCATGTAACAGAGATCAAACTTAACTAATTAATGGTTTAGAACAAGTGAGTACTAAATTAGAACATTTGATTTAATTTAGAACACCTATGGAAAAGTTTAGAACATCTAATTTAAATTTAGAAAATACGAGTAAAAAATAAGAACATAAAGAGTGTTCTCGCATAAGAAAAATTCTCACATATAGGAGTTCTCACGAGAGTCTTCCCCGTATAGGGGAGGGTTTCGGTGAGAATAGGTTTATATGTGAGAATTCATACTTATATGAAAACTGATATATAATTTAGAACACGTGAATAAAAATTTAGAACATACGAGTAAAAATTTAGAACATGCGACTCAAATTTAAATTTAGAACATATGACTAATAATTTAGAACATATGTCTAATAATTTTGAACATGTGTGTGAGCAATAATTTAGAATATCTGATTCAAGAATTAGAACATGTGAGTAAAAATTTTAAAAATTTGCTTTATGAAATTTAGAACATATGATTAAAATTTAGAACATCTGATTTAAAATTTAGAACACGTGAATAAAAAATTTAGAACACTTGATATAAAATATAGAAAATGGGAGTAAAAATATTGAAAATATAAGTAAAAATATAGAACATGTGAGTAAAAATTGGAACATATGCTTTCGAATTTAGAACATATAACTAAAAATCTTAGAACACACGCACGTTTTAAAAAATTTACAACATATAAGTTAAAATTTCGGAATTAGTCATTCGAAATTTATAACATCTAACTTAACTAAATTATGGTTTAGAACATGTGAGTACTAATTTAGAACACCTGGGAAAAAGTTTAGAACATCAGATTTAAAATTTAGAACATACGAGTAAAAATTTAGAACATAAAAAGTGTTCTCACATAAGAAAAAATTCTCACGAGAGCCTCCCCCTATATATATACTTGTCTGGTAAATGATGAAACCCTACTCATGAAAGATTAAAGCTCTACAATACTAAAAATAGATGCTACATTAGCCAATGTCTTTGTCTCTTTTCTTGATGCTCTAATTCATCACTTGCTTATTTCTTCTACCAACTCTTCCTCATAATTTCAAAAATATGACCTTACAATGTTCATTTTCTCTCTCTTAGCCCCAACCCCATACTTGGTCAATACGCAATCATATAGACATAGATTCAAATACATTTCATTAGAAAGATTATAATAAAAGAGTTTGGTATATAATTATCAAATTGACTTTAAAAAAATAAAATAGAGACATCATTAACCAACTCCATTAGATTACAAATGGAAGAGTACCACATTAATGGAATTCTAGTCTTCAAGAATACCATTTAGATTTTAATATTATTATTATCTAACCACTTATGCCTCCTCAATTCATCATCTTCTCACTCCTCTATCATACAGTATACCAGCTCTCTCTTGTGGCAAAGCAAGTTAGGAAATAGATGAACTCTAATCCATTACTTTAACCATATTGTCTTTTGGAGCAAGATTTGGCCATGAGTATCCACAGGATCATAGCAGGCTAATTAGAAAATATCTATGAGAAAAGAATAAAAACCAGTTAAGGCATTCCTTCTCTCACCTTTTATTTAGGGTACTTCTAAAGTGGAAAACTGGAAATTCTACAAAGCCTCCACACTACACACTTGCAACAGTGTAAGCTACCTAAGACCTGCGCAGACCTATATAACCCGTCTGTTATAATAGGACAACATCAAAGAGTGACACTGGATAATTACCAAGCTCACACCCTCAGAAAAAGTCTACACGAGATCTCATGGTCTCAAAGTGACAAAGCGTAATTATAAACACTTGGAAAATTGGATAAGATTGACCATTTAGAACTCATAAGACAAATTATTTCTTAGAAATGCATACTTCTTTGAAAATAAAGGATCCAGATTTTGCTGCTCCACAAGGTGCTCAACAGTGTCCAAAGTGGTACCCACCTGCAGAACAAAGGAAGCACGTAAATGCATGTTGCATTAATACAGATGCTGTGGCAGCAATAGTAAAGCCAACTGCCATGAGAGTTATTCATTGCCAAAAGCTGTGCTTTTATTAGTGTTCCACAGGGACTAATCATGTCTTCAATTTAAGATTTATGAATAGTAGGAAAAGTTGGGTTGACATGCAACATCAACCTCCCATCTTGATTAAATACTTGGACTTGAGAGCAAGGACCTGTACAAGTGTGGATCCAAGAGACCAAATTGCTATTCTGAAAATTTTATGTGCTTGAATCTAATTTGGAGTTTCTGAACATTAAACCCTATCCCTGAGGGTACTATGGAATGAAATAAAAAGTAAACCTAATTTCCTCCCATTCCTGACTACTCTCCGCATGCTCAGGTCCCTTTTCAAGCTTTGAACCAGGCAAACATAAAAGATAAATTCAATTGTTACAAACCTCAGAACTACAAATTGGTAGGACATGCTCTTCCAATGCCTCAAAGATTCTAATTGTCTACACCTATTACACTTTGAAGTGCAAAGTATCCAACAAGATATTTGAGTTGAATGGAAAAGAGACTCAGCATCATAAGCTGAATTTATCCCTCTGAGGCTATTTAACCTATTTGGAGGTTTAAGGGGTCTCCTAAAGCATGCAGTGGATGCTACAAAAAGCACAATACCTACAGATGATGAGCTCAATAAAAAATAAAAAATTAAAAATTAAAAAAAAAAGAGTTTCAGCCTTGCACTATGTCCTAATAGCTGAAAAAAGGGTGCTAATAGAACAAGGGATACAGGGTTTGTATGCTAAGAGGGGAGGCATATGCAAACTGTATAGGGGAAAGCCCAACAACTCCAAAAATTCAAAGTATATTTTTCTGAAAATCTTCTACAATGCAATTATGCGAGTCAAGTACTTTGACAGGAGTATTAGTTATCTTTTTAGATTTTGTAGATAAAACCATGCATTGTTCTACACCCAAAAAAAAAAAAAAAAAAAAAAAAACACTTGCCAATATTGTCTATAGATTTTCCAAAATGTGAGGCTCGTGTATAGGATTAAAAAATCAGAAATGTTTATTGGTGGTGAGCTAATAATCTGACACACAATCAGCCCTAATTTTTGAAAGTTCAATAGGCCTTCTCATGTAAGTTGCTTGAGTGTTCTACCTTCACAAAACAAGTTGCATATGAGGCATAATGATTATCCAATAGAAAAGAATGATTGAAATATGGCTTAACAGAAAAAAATAGTTGTCAATACACTCCTATTAGTGTCGGTGTTTTGTGCTTCTGAAAGCCATAACCTAGATAATTTAACAGCCATGTAGAACAATCATCTGGCAAAAAGAAAAGTCCCATTATCTGGAGGCAGTGTATATCCGAAGATTTGCTAAAAAAATGATTTGACTGATGTTAATCAGATACCATGGGAGGATAAGTATGCTGTGTCAAAGTAAAAGCAGAGGATCAGCTGAGTATTTTGTGAAGAATGTGATTTCACATATTTTGAACCGAAAAAAAAAAAAAAAATTCCACCGAAATATTGGACTTCTTTTTTAAATGATATAACAATTTTTTTTACAAGTACCACATAATAGGAGTACTAGATATGCACACGTTATTCTGTTGATATAGCGTTCAAAGACAACCCATAAACTTCAAAAAAAAAATATGTAAAGGCAATATACTTAAATATACTATGGCCTCTGTTGCACTTCTTCAATTGTGAAATTCCCTTCTGTTGGGAATCTTGGGATAAGTCCTTTATATAATAGAATGTTTGTTATAAGTCCTTTATACCATATCACTCCAAAAACCTCAATCAGACAATTCTAAGAAATAACCTCCAAACCCATTCAAAAAGTAAACATTACCTTAATCTCTACAAAATTATTCAATTACTACTTTAAAATAATAATCTCTTAAAATATTAATCACTCATCCTACCACAAAATCAACTGCCAATCATTGCAGAACATGAAAATTTAATAAGTATTATGTTATCAGTGTAATACCTATACGTGCATTTGCACGGTTACACTCTACTACTCTAGTGTGTATAAAAGTCTGTTGATTGCTGATTAGTCAACAGCTCAGCATGTGGCAGCAGTTTTGCTATATTTGCTTATCCCTTGCGAGCCCTTGAACCCCTAAGGCCTTGGAACTTTATTATCTTCTGGGAAAACATTTGCCTTTACTCATTTTTAACTTGGTCAACACCCAATCATTGTGAAACTGTTCACCTTATTTTCACTTATTTCAAGTCTAATAAGTTCAAATTAGTTCAGATAAGTTCACTTCGGGAAAATAAGTTCTAATAAGGGTTGCCCAAGTTCAAATTACAATTTGAGGCCCGCCTAAAGGTGGCTTGGGATTTGGACCACCCTTATAATACTAAAGAGGGCATTATGGAGTAAAGGCGAAGCTAGGGGTGCCTAGATGGTTGTTTAACGCTGTCGCCCTACCCCATCCCCACCCCTCCAAGACAAAATCAATATATAAATAATTGATAATTGATATAGTTATAGATCAATAAAAGCTTTTTACTCCAATGATTAAAAAGTTAAAAGTGCAAGGTGGATTCTTGGACTTTGGTTCAAATCTTTATTACCGCAAATTTTACCAACTTTTTTTTTTCACCCAACACTCTTAATGTTGATTTTAAACTTTGGCTTTTCAACTCTCCAAAAAAAAAAAAAAAAAAAATCTCCATGGTTGTGGAGAAAATTAAGCAGTCAATTTTCATGGAAGACTTACTCTTCCCCTGCTTTGTAATACCACTTTTCATTCATGTGAGTGAATATATATTTCTCATCCCTCTCTCCAACACCTCCCCTAAAAAAAAGAGTAAGCAATTGTTTTTAAGACAGTTCCCATGACCTTTGCAGAGTATCACTACCTAATCCTGACCTAACACAACATCAAGGATAATTTAAGCAAATGCTGAAAATGCAAGACATAATTTAATCATCAAAAAATTACATAATTGATTGGTACAGCTGGTCCCTTGCAGTGCACCAGTGTAGCAGATGAGAATAAAAACAAGATGAAAGAGAAATAAGGTATAAGGAGTAGTTGATTGCAAACATAATTTAGTTTCAAGGCTCAATAGAAAAGAGAGAATTGCTAGTTAATCAAAGTCGACTTAGTCCACATAGATTTCAACACGGCAATATAACAACAAACAAAATTTGACAGGAAATTTCTGGTCTCTTATAACATAGGCTATGTACCACTTGTTTGTGAAAGACATCACCATCATGCTCTCTATTGTATCAATCAGCCAAAGGATAGCAATAACTCATTGTAAGTATCAATCAATCAGTATCAACAATGCAAGCTTTGTAATTAGTTTGGCAATAGCTATTTAATTTAACAAGATATTATAAAGCATACCTGTGTTTCATGACATATTAAATCGAACTCATCCTGAAAAAGTGCAACATTTAAACTAGTATTAACAGCAGCTTGAGATATTTCACACAACTTCCAAATGCATAGAGAAGGTTTCCAGAGTACTTATTAAATGCACATGGCTTAATAATTTAAATAGTCCTCAATCAAAAAATAATTCAAACACTTATCAATGCATCGAGTTTTAGAAGGGCAGTTGAGTTGTCTTATCTATTGTTATTTTAATAAAACTGCTGATATGATAGGATATAGAGGGATAAGCAAATTGTTTTTAAAATGGAAAAGTAGATGTAAAAAGAGATGGTGAGTCCAAAAAGGAAAATAAAATATAAGTGTTAGGACACTAGGACCGTGAAAGTAAGGGTTGAAACTATTATGAAACAAAAGGAAAAAATAAGTGTTCATAATATTATGGGATGGAAGAAGAATACATTAGTATGGCAAACATTTAGAGACCAACATACTATTGATTTGACAAGAAAACACAGTATCTTGATTCTTGAGGGAAAGGGGGGAGAAGGGAGGTTAACTAGAGAAAGAATATTAATAAGCATGAGTAGATGAGTCAAAATAATGCACAAGCTTATTGCACAATTGAACAAAAAATAATTAGCTTCTATTTCTTTGGGAAAAAAAGGTGAGGAAGGATATAAATTTTCACAATTTTTTAAATGTGGCTGGTCACACCGTATGGCAGGGGTTACTCGTAGGGGGTTACACATTTGGTCATGGGTTACTCATTCTAGGGTTACTTATTCAAGGGTGACTTGTATGATCAGGGCTTACTTATTCAAGGGTTACTCGTTTAGCCGGGGATAAATTATAAGGGTTACTTATTCAGGGGTTACTCGGTCTGGTCAAAACGTGCTAACCGACTGAGGGGTTACTCTCATACAGAAAACGTGCTAACCCATACAAGAATAAGTAGCTCATACAAGAATAAGTAACTCTGGTCTACAAGTAACCTCTGAATAAGTAACCCATACAAGTAACTCTTGAATAAGTAACTCCTACAAGTAACCCCCGCCACACGATGTGGCGGTAAATTTTTGAATCGGAATTAAGGAGGAAAGCATATAGAGAATAAAGAGACAGAGGCATAAGTAGAATAAATCAAATAATGCAATCTTGGAGACATTGATACAATCCAAGGCATAGTGGAAAGGTAAAGGATCAAAGGGCACTCTGTTTCCATTTAAAGAGAAATCTTTAGTTAAATTCAATAAGAAGGCTATCATGGACCAAGATTCAAATTTATCAATTTTGTTGAAATAGTTAGAATATTGAGCAGACAAATAAATCAAACTAATAAACACGTGTTAGCAAGAGTGTGGTGGAAAAGAATACTTTTAAAACAGTGAAACAATTACAAAAATGAGAGCATGCTGATTTTTTCTTTTAGTATTCGCTAAGCAAAGAAATTCTTGTGGCCTTCTGGGTAATAAGAGACATGCCCTCTAGAGCTTCTACTCCTCTTGCTTTTGTAAAATATGTTTCCAAGTTGGGAAAATATCATTTTCATCCATAAGGCTTGCAAATTTAACAAGCATAAAAGGGAAGATGATGAAATTAAAAAATTTAATATAAAAACAATCCATTCGTCCTTAGAAAATCCATTTTTACACCATTTTGTGCCGAAATCTCACTGAAAAATTGTTATTTAGCAAGATTATTAAAGAAGAGAGATTGAAAAGCGGAAATCTTTCCTACCAAGAAAGAAATACCTCTCTTATACTGAAGCAGGAAATGAAGAAGAAGAAAATATTGGGACAGAAAAGTAAATATTTTGCATGTGAAATAAAATAAAACTGCAAATAAAAACAGTTGAAGAAGAAAAGAGCAAAAAACAATACCTGCATATATTCATGTAGTGATGTAATGACCTGTTAAAAATAGAGAGAGAGAGTGAATATGAAAGTCAGATAGCTCAATCTCGCTTAAGGAATAATAGAGGACTGGGCCAATTCATTTTGAACCATATTATGTTTTCTTCCAGTAAACAAAGATGTCACATACATGTAATTATGCTCTTTATATTTGAGGTATATTATACAACATAAAATGTCACTCTAATATTGAAAAATTCTGATAAGTGACACTCATTCATAGAATGTAAACTTTATTTAGAATTAAACTGTATTTACTATATAATAATTGTTATGTGGACATTGAACTATTGTTTGTGGTCGACGTGATAGACAGCTAAACCTTTTACAAATTTTCTGCTATTCCTCTAAAAAGTACTTGATTTGATTTCACATTTAGGGGATTTCAGAAAGCTACAGGGCCATGTAAACTTTCACTAATTGTAAGAGCTTAGATTGGGTTGTCCTAGCAAATGACTTGAGCACTAAATTGCAACATAATTGAGACCAGAGTCCACCAGACATGTTTGTGGAGGCGAAGCCAATTAGGGACCAGATAGAATAGCAATTCAGCTGATATAAGAGTTAGCTAAACGAGATTTTGAGTTAATAGCAAGTGATTCAAATATGTAGTAAACAATATCCAATCCTACAGACAGAAATACAATTGAAACTGTTGACCATAAAGCTCATCATCTAACTAATGAGCATGTTTCTGGTCTAAGGGCTAAGTTGACGTCCTACTGTCCTAGTGAGGCATGGGTTTACTTATAGGTTTACATACCTGTACTGCTATGCTATTTCTAGTCTCTTAGAAAGTTATGAACTTCAGAAGTAGCCTCCAACAATCAATAAACAGAGGGCCAGAAGTTATACAATAAGTAAAGCTGGCTATAGAAAGCTTATGGCATAGTTCGATAATATGGTGCAAAGAAGATGACAAATTGATTATTTGCAGTTTCGTGTTCTCACTCTAGTACTCCTTAACTTCTCCAAAAGCCTTTCAGTAGTAAAATCAAAATTTCTTTTGACTAGATACAGTAATCTACATGGCACCAATATACAAAGCTCAATTTCAAAAAATTGAAGAGCCACTATGCCACTACAGGCTACATGACGTCAAATGAATCACAGAAATATCCCTGACAAACAATGCAAAGTTGAAATGTTCTACTTGATGAACATAATAGTCTTAGTAGATGCTAAACCTGAAGTCGCAATTAACAATGCAGATCTTCCATTATTATAGAGGATCCCCAAAAAACACTAAACAAAATAAGCACCGCTTAGTACATAAATCACATTGACAACCGAACCAATAGCCTTAAGTGACTCCTGCAACATTTTCTCAGATTATAAAATCAAGCACATCATCCATTGCATTCCAGCAACTACAAGAAAACATGTCCTAATTTGGAGTAAGTTATGCAAGGCCAATCAATGCTACCATCAGCAGATTTATGAAGATCGCACAATTTATTTGACTGGACTTGCGATGTCACCTAGGTGCTATGGAAGAACTAACATGAAGGAGCCTGTGATGCAAGTAGTATGCCAAATTTCCAACAGAACTAAATTTCCCGGCAAATTTCTACCTGTCAAATGAACAAGTCATTCATGTGGAGGATCTAACCGACATCTTTCTTCTAACCTAAATTATGTTACGTGACACTAAGAATTTTATGGTCTCATTTGAGCTCCAAAATAATTGATATCCCATTACACTTACCACTGTATTAGACATATCAATTTACCACTAGACGAATAAATTGCACCATACGGAGCACATTACAACTACAAGAAAATGTTTAAACAAACATCTATTTATACAATGTTGAGAAAATTACCTGAATATATCGCTGATAAAGTCGATCGTGTTCTGCTCCTGTGAACCTTGGAAATGCTCTACAGAAATCCTAACAAAAAAAACCAAAATTAAATAACTCGAAACATCAATATAAATACAAACTATACTGAATTCCATCCCTACCTCCGGATTTATTTGTCACATTACATATTCAAATTACAACATCAATCAATGCGATAATTAATTCTTAACAAAACGAACTCAAACTCGAACTCGTGAAACAGAATACACAATCAAAAACAGGAAATCAAAAACCAAAAAAATTACAATTTAGTTTAAAATTACCTCGAAAGGAAAAGCCGTTAGCAGAAAACCTAAGCAATGCTTGAACGATTTCTTCAAATTGGAGTGTCTGGTTCCAGGAATTGCAGTTTCAACTGACTTCTCCATTTTTCTACCTTACGAGCTAAACCTACGCAATAATGGCAGAATTTCAACTTACAATTGAAGAAAATTCACTCTCAAATTTCCAAAAACCCTAAATTTGCAATGTTTATTATGCAGATTTTCAGTCGGTTAATCGCTAAAATGAACTCACGTTTCAAATTAATTATACTACGAAGTAATTACGAAAAATTAAACTGCAAAAAAATGAATGATGATGAATATATTGAATTTGACACCATTGAACGAATTCAATTTCTCCCCGCCTTCACTATTTTTTGAGGTAAGCAATAAAACGGCAATCCCGGCATCTTTGAAAAAAATTAAGGGGGTGTTTGGCAATTGGGAATTGAGAGTGGGATTTTTAATCCCAATTGAAAAAAAAATGAACTGCTATTCGTCGATTCCATTTTACACAGTAACGTTTCCATTTTGACTTGAATGTACAAACATGCCCTTTATGCAATTTGTGTTATAAAAAGGACTTTGTTCTCCATATGGACACATTTTATCAAACGGTCCCCTCAAAGTACGACGTGAATATCCCGAGTCCACTAAATCGGTCTCCACAACCACCTTAATTCCTTTTTACTTTTTTTTAAAATTATTCATAAAATTTTTCCGACGGGTCTTGGATCATAGACGATGAGTGGAACATTCGTACACCGGAGAATGCGTCGGAACATTCTGTAAGTTTTTTGTTTTTTTATTTTCTGGAAATAGGACATCCGCCTAAAAAATCCGGATGTCCCTTGGTGGATCCGCCTAAAATTTCCGGATCCCCAATGGAACATCCGGAAATTTCAAGCGGAAGTAGGGATCCGCCTGAAATTTTCGGATGTTCCAAGGTGAATCCGAAAATTTTAGGCGGATCCACCTTAGGACATCCGAATTTTTCAGGCAGATGTCCCTTTTCCATGTTTTTTTTAATATTAATTAAATTATTTTTTTTTTTTGCGATTGTTGTTGTGATTAAGTTTTTGATAATAAATGTAATTATTACTGTTTTGTATTAATATGATTAGTAGTAATATGATTATTTTTTTGGAAAAATTGAAAAGAATAATCTAACCTTTGCTTGATCTGCTCAAAACGAGCCAACCTTTAAGTATTCCGGGAACAAGCTATCCTTTGCCCCCTATTTTCTCAGAACAAGCCCTTGACCGGTTTTATAATTTGGCAACTGGTTTTCAATGCTTGGTCCCTGCAGGCGCCGGTACAAAGTGTCGTACCGACTATTCAAAACGACAGCAGTTTGTAAATAAAACGCAGAGGTATTTTGGCTGCTTTGATTAATAAAAAGGCGGAAAGAACATATACTATGAAACAAAAGAACATTATGGGTGTTTAAAGAATATAGCTCTAGTTTATAAAGAACGCAAAAAATAAAGAGGTAAAAAGTAAAAAGTAAATTATTTTTTTACAGCATAATACTTTCTCTAGAATTTTGACAAAACAATAGTTTCTCTCTATATAAATGTTTTTCTCTCTCTAGATTTTCTCTCTCAAAAAGTTTTAAAAAAAACCCAAAACGACTCAAATAAAAAATTCAAACTTCAAAACCCTAAGCAATATTTGAAGAAATTTGTACTTCTAAATCCAAAATTCTTGAATATGGCGGAAAAAAAACTGCATGTAAGTATAATTTTCGCAATGCCTAAGTGTTTAATTTGGAATTGATTGGGTTCTTTTTTTGCAATTCATACGGAAATTGTTTGTTACACTTTGTTACTTTTTTTGTTGTTTGATTTTCGATTTTTTTTGCAATTCGTTTGATACTTTTTGTGATTTTGGGTTCATTTGTTTGTGCTACAGTGATAAACAAGTTGAAAATGGAGATATTGAAGACAATCAACCCATTAAAATATATAAGAAGAATGGAAAAAAGAAAAAAAAAAGTGATAAAGTTGCAAAGAGTGTTGAAGAAGCTATTGTGGACCCATTAATTTTACTAGAAATTGAAAAATAAAGCATTGTTGAAGAGGAAAATACAAAGTAAGTACGGAGTACATTATATTATACTCCCTCCGTTTTTAAATACTTGCTTCACTTTTCTTTTTCGACCGTTTTTAAATACTTGCTCCATTTCCTTATTTGGAAAGCTTTTACAATATTTTATTAATTTTTCTCACCAAGTGGACCCAACAATATCCACTACTTTTGATTTTTTACAATTTTTTATTCTTCAACCCCACTACCTCCATAAATTATTAATTTCTCCAATTTCTCCTAAAACTCCGCGCATGGAGAAATGGAGCAAGTGTTTAAAAACGGAGGGGGTATGTATATAATTGAAGCCATTTTTGTTCTTTTCTTATCTTGGATCTGTTGTGAATATCGATATTTATTTGAATAATGGTTGAAGTTAGGTGTATAATAATGGTTGAAGTATAAAGTATTGATGTTCTTTGTATATAAAACTCATGTTCATTATATATATTCGCATGATGTTCCTTTTAAAAGGGTAGAATGTACTTTATTCTTATTACTTGATTTTATGAATATAATACTTGTGTATTTGTTAAATTTATATAATGTTCTTTGCATATAATACTCATGTTCTTTGCATGTAATACTCCTGTTTTTTAATGAAACATTCCTCATTTGTTATGTGAGAAAGAAAGATAGTTAGGAGGTTGCTTAGATTAAAAAGTCAACTATCATATATTAATTATTGTCTTGCTATTTTTTGTTTTGTGTTGCTATTTTATGGCATGGTTAGCACCTTTAGTGGTGAGCTAGTGGGGAGTGGGGACCTTTTTTTGTTCATTCTATATACATTGAACTATGATGTGGACAGAAAATGCTATTAATAAAGTCTAAACTTTGATATGGATCTTTTTATCGGGGTTTTCTAGGTCTTTACCTACTTGAGACCACTTTGGTCTCTACCAAGTGGGGACCAAATGTACTATAACCGACACTTTTGTCTTTAGTGGTTTAGTATTGATCTTAACGTGGATGGTATACCAACAACAACCCAGTTAAGCTTAGATGGTACTCTTCTTTGATACCAACGAACTCTTAGATGATATTTCTTTTGATACTATCGAACACCTCTTCGGTACCAACAAACCTATTTATATACTAATATCAATTCGTTGCTTACTTGTTTCTTGATTAATGACTTTTATCGGTACTAGTTATCACAACTCTACTACTTATGCATCAAAATAAATTATTTTAATAGTTTAACAGCCCACCATGCTTCGCAATAATAATTCTTTAACTAGAGAGTTTTGACCAATACCTGAACTTAGTCGACAATGGAACCTCCGGCGTTCTGAGCTTCCGGCTTTACCAAGGTATTTAACCCCAACCTTGTCTTCCTTAGATCAGGCTCAGCACAGATCTAGTTCGTTTCCTACCTTAGACCGTAATCTCTAATTAAAAAATCCTTACTGTGTTTATGATGGAACTTTTTAAATAGAAAGATAACTCATTTGATATATAAGGTTCAAGGGGATAACGTTCCCTTCTTGAACGAAACTTTTATTTAATTTGAAAAGATTACAACACTCATATATTACAACACACACACACAAAATGAAAGCTTAAAAGACATAAGCTGAACTAGAGTTTTCTCTACTTTAAGAGAGATGGAAAACCAATCTTTCTCTTAAGGTGAGTATTTTTCTCTAGAGGACTCTCTAAATCTTTCAGAGTAATTCTCTAGCTAACTCTTCCAACTCTGCCTTCACTTCTTGGCCTAAGTCCCTTTATATAGAGAATCAAAGTTACATAGGATCCTTATCCTGACTCAGCAAGCAATTCTACACCATTGCTTTTTACAAAGATACTTTAAGACAAAAACAATTAATAAAACGTGGCTACAGTAAAGATGCCTTGAATTATTGCTGGCGTGGGCTCAAGCATTCATAATTTCATCCATCATCATCTCTTGTAGGCCTCCCTCACTATCTGCAAAAGGTCGGCAACACATTTGGCTGCATATTCTTCATCCCAACTCATGAATGCTTCAAACACATACTCATAGCCTTCAAATGACAGAAACTTTCCACTTTCGATATCTTCTAAATATTTGTAGATTGACTCGGTGTTGTTTATGCCATCTACTAAATATTCTTTCATCTCGTTAGGCGCCATAATTGTTGTGTTACCAACATGAAACATGACAAGAGGAATTTATTTCCTTTATATAAAATCGTTAACATATTGTGAAACGTAGAAAAATCTCAGTGCTCTTGCTTCAGTTGGATTTCTAACAGTCTTCTGACGAATTAGTATGGGATCTTTGCAACACCTCACTTCCCCAAATATTATCAAGTAATGCGGGGGACTAACTTTTCCTTCTTTAACTTCAATATTAGCACATTGTACCTTTACTCTTAACTGAAATTCGTCTTTTTTGTCATCACAATATTTTCGAACCTTGTTGAATGCGTACTGCTGGAACTTTGTAAGTCTTGGAAAGAAAGAGTCATTAGGAGTAGGGAATTCATAGATATCATGTACCATTCCATAATCCCAAGCCTTGTAATGTATACTAATAAATGGAGCATCTTTATCAAGAGGATATGGGTAGATTCGCAATGATGCAACTTTAGAGTTTTTGGGAAACTCTATTCTTTCTCCCTATAGATCTCGAAGATCAAAGAATTTATTGGACCTTGTAACCACCAACTCGTACCATGTCCTAAAATCGTTATCTCTTATTTTGATTAATATTGTATTTCGTACATCAGGAATGAGCTGAAATAACATAATTGTTATTTCGAAAATCAATAACCTTTGGACTGCCCGATGGCAACCCTTAATTAAACCATCTCGCAAACATTGTTTTGCCGATATGATCAAGCCTTACATTAAAGCCCAACTGGAGGGTGAAACCCGCTCCATTGCCTTTTCGGTCTCATCAATGAGAGTTTTCCTCTCTACATCCATCCTTTGAAGTTGGTATGCAGGAGGTTTTTGTGTAGTCTTGAGCTTCTTGGTCGACATTAGCTAATTCTCTGGTCAAGCTGTCTGCCAAAGAATTCTTTGTTCCCTGTATATGTTCAACAGTAAAAGAGAATTGGTTAAGCCATAATTGCCAACGCAGGAGTCTCCCTTGCGCTTGCATATTAGATAAATTCTTTTTAACAAAACCGAGTATGCCTTTGCAATCTGTTCTTATTAAGAACTATTTAGGGGCTAAGAAGATTAAAAACTTCTCGATCCCTCTAATAACTGCAAGGATTTCCTTTTGCATTGTAGGATAGTTTAACTCAGCTTTGTTAAAACTTCCACTGCTATATCTGCAAAGTCTTTCTCCTTCTTTTATTTATAACACAACACTCCAGTGCTCATTACTAGCACCTGTTTCAAGGATTATATCATCTTCACCAGT